TACACAATGTATACATGTACATTTCATGTATATGTATCCTAATCGTAAGTTATATGTATGCATGATATTGAATACAGTAAAATCAAAGTCAAAGTCAAAGCCTGTGAAGTCGAAACTCTGTTTACCTCGACGTCTTTCTGTATTCCCGACAAAAGAATAGGCCTTTATGTACAATAAACTATCCGTAACTCGAACGTCAATACCACTAAAGCCCCTTATCTCGAAGTTTTGGCAGGCCAATTAAAACACTTAAGAATGATGAATAAAAAGTGATGAAAGAACGCTTGCCTTCATTATGAGTCATTACTGTCACGCACGGCTTTTCTTTGATGAGCCGAGACAAGCACTGGGTGGGCATCAACCGCAACCGTAAATGAATCAGGCACGAATGATGCGCCCTCAAACGCTTTGTACATGTATCACGTGACCCAGCACAGAAACCCTGACCGACTGGCCCGCGCGCTGCGTTATGCGGTAACAAGCCCGATCACGCAAAGCAAATGAATGAATTCTCAAGACGTAGACACAGGTACCGATACATAACTTCATTGGTTTATTGTTTATTAATGTACCACATAAAAATATGTTTAATGATGATGTTCGAGGAAAACGTGCACAGTAAGGATAGCCTAAAATCCACTTCGTCTTCGACTCAGCTTGCAGGCCAACTGCCGTAAGCCAGTAAGGTTGCATGTGCACTGAAGTGTGTAACTTTCGATAACTCGAACTTCGGACATCTTGAACTTTTCGTCCATTCCCCTTATCTTTGACTTATCGAGATTTTACTGTATGTACATATACATGTACGACATTACTAAGGAGTTCAATGTTTTTTGCCCTAAGTTAAAGTTTAAGGAAGATTAGGAAACAGCAAGCAGTTTGCAGCAGTTTTGTGTTTGCTCCATGTTTAAAAAGAAATTCAAATTATTAGCCTATACATTGTTAAGGTGGAAAGCTTGCGGTAGCACCATGCAAGGATACGATCTCTTTGTGAGTCTGTATGGTTCTGAAAAGAACCATGAGGAACTCAGAACCATACAGACTCACAAAGAGATCGTATCCTTGCATGGTGCTACCGCAAGCTTTTCACCTTAGTTGTCTGTCACCATGAATAGCTTGAAATCACATCTATACATTGTTCATGAACACTTACAGCATACTCTGTCCTTTAAGCCTCCAACATCATACTACAAGCATCTATAGTGCCCAAACTAATCAATGTTTAATGAGGAAATCTCTGTATTATCGTTTCCCCTTCACCAGGCCATGGTGCCATGTTCACAATCCATCTTCGTCTCCACCTATAAAAATTTCCACAGATTTTTGGCGCCTTTATCAACAGATATAGGCCCTCATCTCGGTCAATTATTTGATATATCAATGTGTCAAATTGTCGAGAATCATGTATATCCTGTGAAACATCACAAAAATCAAACTATTTTCTCTAGAAAGGCACAATGATCCACCACATGTACATGTACATACACAACTTAAAACCGGCATCCATGTTTTGCTGCTGAAGTAACACGTATACAACACATGGCATGTGTTGGTTTGTTTCACACTTATGTTCTGGTCCACTGCCACATTCCCATACATATTGGGAATACACGATACACCCCATTCTGCCATTACTTTTAACTAACCACTAACCTCATATACCAAATGTGTATACCACAGTATTTCAGAGGGTGTAACATAAATTTGTGTACTTCTTGAAAGCCTTTACTAGACTTTACCAAGTCTTAAATGAATCTTATTTTGCAAATAACTCCATCAAAAGTGTTAAATTTTAAAAAAATCCGGAAATCTGAAGGAATCTCACCCCTGGGTTATTGGAAAAAGTCAGCGATTGGACTGTCCATGAATAGGCATGCAGTAGCAGTCGGGATGTCGGGGTAGGTGTTGATGCAGTTTGTGCTTAGCGATGCGGAGCGGCATGCAAAAGGTCCTGTGGCAGTTTTTGAAGAGATTTGGTGACATTTTTGATCGGCGTCCGAAAACGACGAGATAAATGAATACAAGGCATTTGTTCCGAAATTACAGTACATACATCTGCCAATACATGTAAACGTATTTCACATGAATGACAACATCTGGATACATGTACATGTATCTGTAGCCTACATGTGCACATGTGCGGTGTACATGTTGAACATCCATCTAAGTGGGTTATACGCTTATAAGAGAGCACTACAACAGGAATCTATTGTAATTCAACTGTTCGGTGTTCAGTGTTGGTCTCCAACCTCCACCATATCTAGCTTTGATTTTTGCCTGTCGCATTGTATTTTGCTCAAATCCCAGAAACATACTGCGTTGAAATTTTAATGCTGTCTTCCAAGTAATCTGAATATTCCTGAGAACTGAAGAACTCTCAGACTGACTTTCCTCCACTTTCCATACTCAGAGATGCACATGTTTGAAACCACAGAGAACAAAAACTTCCTGATGTCTACTTATACATGCACAAATACTACTTAATGAAGAAAGCTTGCAAAATCATTTCCCCACTACCGAAGAAAATCTGTGACAATCTTGTGAGAAAAAGTGTGAAAATCTTTTCTCACTTGTTGGAAAATACAGTAAAGTCGAAGCTCAGAGGAATGGACGAAAAGTTCGAGTTATCCGAAGTTCGAGTTATTGAAAGTTACAAGCTTCAGTGCACATGCAACCTTATTGGCTTACGGCAGTTTGCCTATGAGCTGAGTCGAAGACGAAGTGGATTTTAGGCTATCCCTACTGTGCAAGTTTTCCTCAAACATCATCATTAAACATGTTTTTATGTGGTACATTAGTAAACAATAAACCAATGAAGTTATGTACCGGTACCTGTGTCTACGTCTTGAGAATTCATTCATTTGCTTTGCTTGATCGGGCTGTTACCGCATAACGCAGCGCGCGGGCCAGTCGGTCAGGGTTTCTGGTCATGTGATACATGTACATGTATAAAGCGCTTGAGGGCGCATCATTTGTGCCTGATTCATTTATGGTTGCGGTTGATGCCCACCCAGTGCTTGTCGACATGACAATGGCAGCCCATGTGAACATGCTCGGCTCATCAAAGAAAAGCCATGCGCGTGACAGTTATACAGTTATGATTCATAATGAAGGCAAGCCTTCTTTTATCACTTTTTATTCATCATTTTTCATTTTTTTTTTAATTGGCCTACCAAAACTTCGAGATAAGCAGCTATAGTGGTTTTGATGTTTTGAGTTACGGATAGTTTATTGTACATAAAGGCCTATTATTTTGTCGGAAATGCAGAAAGACGTCGAGGTAAACGGCGTTTGGATTTAACAGGCTTCACCTTATCGAGATTTTACTGTAAGTGAAAATCTTTTCCCAAAAGTGGAAAAAGGTGTACAAATATTTCCCACTTTTGGTACACTTTTTCACAATTTGTGAAATGAAAAGGAATTCCTTGGGAAGAGAAAAATGTGAAAAAATTTTCCCATTTTGGTGTTATTTTTCAATCGCAATGTACTGTACACTGGTGCTTGCCACTGAAAATGTATTAGTGTGAATGACAACGCAATAAGGTTGTCCAGTCAATAGCCAAGCACTGGATGAACAGTACAGCTGTTAAATGGGTAGCTGTGATGACAATGCACTTGATCTGGTGTAATGTCATCATGCAAGCACTGTTGGAAATGATCCCAAATATTGAACTCTTGGAACAACTTTCCGAGTTCATGCATGGAACTGTAATGTGTCCCTTTCTCTGTGTGCATTTTCTATGTTCAGGGCCAATTCTGAGGCGTCATTCGCGTTCTTGTCACCATTCTGTCAAAACGAAATTTACCATTTGAGCATGGCCAGCTCATGTATGTGTTTGCTGGCACACACGCCAGCAATTCCCGCTCATGTACCGTTTTCTCTTCGCAAGTAGCACTAAAAACGGCATAATTTTTTTCCCTTTTTTGGCCAGCATTATTAGCTTTTAAATGTTTTTAATTAACTTTTGACTGCAAACTCTGGGAGAGATATGTTCATGGCAAAATAAAGACAATCATCACTTTGAAGCTCATCAGAGTAAGACGATGTGTCCATGTACACACCAAATATTTTTAAAAGAGATGCAAATGAAAATTTCCAAAATAAAATGTGTTTTTCCCAACACTGAACTTTTTCTTGAGCACCTACATTCAATACCAATTAATAATTGAGTCCATCATAAACCGTTTGCCGATGTCACTACATATACATGTACACGTATAATGAAAAAAAACCCTGTCTGCTGACATGGTATTGGTGACTTTCAGTTCTACGATCTTTCCCAAATTTTTGTCAACAGCCACTGGCCAGTGGGCCCTGGGCCCTACAGTTTAATACGTACCCAGAGACTCAATGTAGCCCTTGTGGCCATCCATCTATTTCTATACCTGCTGCCTCCACTTGTTTAAGTGTATACTCAGTCCTTCAAAATCTTTGAGCAATAACTACCAATATGGCTAAGCAAGGACAACACACGAATTGTTCAAAACCCTTTATAAAAACTTTCAAAATCAGCAGCAAATTTTGGTCAAAAACAAAGTTCGTATAGCGCCGCATAGCCGCGCAAGATGGAGAACTTCACCGCAAACACACATAAAACATTGTAATCGCATAGGCGCTATTTGACCAAGCGATACGCCTGCGCAATGCACATTACTGCTTAGGCGCAGGCGCGGCGGCAGGCACGTGCACCTGGTGAGCCTGCGCCGAAGCATTACCGTAAACCACGCAGGTGTATCGCTTGCTCAAATGGCACCCATGGTGATTACAACTTTAAGGCAAAGCTATCCATCTCGAATCTTTGGTGCTATACGATCTTTGGTCAAAACTAAATCCTCTGAAATCCTCCACATGGATGGGGAAACCGGGAAGGGTCTGGGTTAAAAATACCATGGCCATAGCAATGAAAGCAGGATTTTGCATTTTGAGACACAAATCTAAGTTCTGCAGAAAAGGAAACTTTTTTGTTTAGGTAACACCACACAATAGAAAGAAACTTAACCTTGTCGCATCATCATGGTCTGATGCTCGTGCCTGCTTATCTCCATTTCACTATCAAGTTTCTCTCTGTTGTCTTGTATTTGTCTTTCTAGTTGTTCACGCTGAAGTCTTTCTGTCTCTTCCAATGCCTTCCACCTGAAATTTGAGCCAAATTACCAAGTGATTAATAACAAATTCACCCAAATGCTTACGTGTACATACTACAGGCACACACATGAAAGAAGCGTTATTACAACATCCTGCTTATAATGAATACGTGTTTATAGTCTGTACACTGATACATGTAATGCAGTATACAAGATCCCTGTTATAACCAAGTCATAATAAGGGGAGAATTTCTCTTTTAACCAGCAGAAACTCAGGGTTAAGCCTGGTGATAACTCAGGGCTTGACACCAGGCATAAATACAATGCATTCATGAATATTCTGGACAATTTCAGGTCAGGTCTCCCCTGGTTGTTGGCAACAAAAGAGCCGAGTTGGGAGGGGGAGAAGCATCTCAAACAAAATGCTGCTTTAGCTGTATAATCAGAAGATTAAAGGAGCAGCGGTATTGCTCGTCAGTATTGATAAGCACTACCTTTGAGGTTTCAGCCTTGTAAGTTTTTGAAATTCTTAAGATGCGTATCAGTTGATAATTTTATTATTTGAATATGTCCTTGTTTCATAATTTCATTTTTGAACAATTGAAAATTGGTGAAAGAACTACTCAGAATAAGTTTTTTAGTGGAGATTTCCAGCCACGTGACATACAGTACTGTGTGCTACCCTGGTCTGACAAGTGTGCAAAGGTTTGGGCTTTGAATGAAGATTATGAAGCCCACTGACATAGGATTAAAAGACCTGCGAGATTTTGGTATTGCCCCAAAGGACTTGGAAAGCGTGTGATGCAAAATTGCCTAAATAATTATATAAACATAACATTTTAGGCGTGACGTCCATATTATTTTTTATAAGCGTGCCGTGGTCCCCGCCGGCCTGCGCCGCACATGCACGCGCGGCAGCCTCCCGCAGCAGGCCGATGTGCGGCGCCATGTGGCACCAGTAAAAAGCATGCATAACAATGGTTCACGAACAAATTTTATGATACACACAGTCCCCCGCGGCGCGCTGGCACTAATTTGCATTTTTTATTGGAGACAAATTCTACAAAAAGCTAAAACACAGAAAAAAAAACAACCACTTTACTACTGACTCATCGTTTTGGAAAAGTCACAAAGGTTGTTGGGGGACCTGTGGTCTGGACCTGCAGCTGATCCTAACAGTAACACGCCTGCCTTAAGAATCTATTACAGTGTAGGCCTAGCCTGTAATCTACTGTATTTTCCGGAATGTAAACAGCAGCTTTATACATGTATGATTCTCACACTGAAAAATATTCCTGGAGCTTATACTCTGGGCTGCTAATACAATATTTTAAAAATTAAATCTGTAATGCCACACCGTGCCATGCCTTGGCACCTCCCATCATACCTCCATGCTCCCATACAGCCCATGCCGCCGGCTGGCTAGCCGGCCATTCACGCAAGCGGTACAGTTTCGCGCTCTCTGGAAACAAGTCGTTCATGTTTTCATTGGTTGCCGTTTACAACTAGCCTATTCACATGTTGGAAATAAAGGAAACCAGCACAGAGAGACATAATAGACTTGTAAATGTACCCTTGTTTGTGCCGTTTCACACCACTCACATCATGTGGTGCGTCTGTTTTTGTTATTTACAGCTGTGCAATCCATATGATTTATTTTTACTGGTCAGTTGGTGACTGTTCCAAAAATTCGAACAAAAGAACTACTCCACAGCCCACCCAACGAGGAATGTAATCCACGCTGCAATAATTGGTAATTTCTAGGACTTGGGGCAGTTTAGGCTGAATAGGAATAATCATTCGCGATCGCACACATTGGGTCGTATCAGTGAATAAAAACTAGCAAATGCTATGAAGTTCAAGCAATCAACAAAAGCATTTCATGAGAAAACCATTAATATGAATGAAATGTTTCTTTTACTATTCAGCATCTACTAGTGTAAATATTATCAAACGGCCGAATGGTTTTACACAAGAGGGCTTCTGTTGTCCAAGGAAAAAAAACCATGCGTGGTCTTGGTTTGGACAGAAAACGACAGGAAAGAATTTGTATATTTTCATGGGTTGGGATAGATGCTCCGAATAAAAATGCAGCAACCAAGATGCAACCAAGTCTACTGGAACAATTGTAATACATGACGGTCAGTCAGCTGTGTCAATCTTTGGTTGGATGGAAGCTCCTCAGAGACTTTATTTGGAATACTCTCCTGATTTTATTCCCTTGCTACTTTTATTTTTGTCTTGTCTGAATAATAATGACTGGCCAGTGAAGTAATCCAGTAAAAATGGGCTTTCATACTTTTTTAAAATTTACTTTTTTTCCTCGAAGCACTTGACCATTATACTGTACTAAAGTACCATCACTGAACATAACATTCCATAATTTCCCCCATCTACATGTATACGAGGGGCACAGCTGCATTTTCGGGTAAAAAGGAAATGAAATTAGGCAGACAACCGACCGCTTGCATTAAATCCGACCGCTTGCATTAAATCCGTTAGAGAGATTTTCCAAGACATTTAAATGGAACTAACAGTTGATTTCACAAAGCTCAATTGATGCAATCTGGGCTAATTTTTATTTTCAAAAGATGCTGCTAAAGTCGACACTTCAGGAACTCTCGATAACTCAGGCTTAGAGCTGGTCTAGTCTAAACCCTTAAGCACCCTTCCCAAGAATTGTTTTGTCTAAACATCGAACAAAAATATTTGGCTGTTTTAATACTTAATATCATGATTTTCAATTGACTTAGATGCCAATACACCAAAAATACCTTGGGACTAAATGATTATTTGCAAGTGGCTCGGCAAATCCGCAAGATAAAAAATTCCACCCCAGCTCTGCAGGAAAATAAATCTTCTCAGGAGTGATTGACAGCTGTATTGTTCAAAAATGTATCTTTTTAAGTATTTGGGTCACCCAGGCTATCTTTGAAGAGGCAGGCAATCTTTGAAGTTGCTGCTCTACTACTACTACTAGGTAGGAAGACTTGGGGGCAGATACATTGATCGTAAATGCTCAGCCAATTACTAAGTTGAAGCTTTGTAAGTTAAGCAGCCATTGGTAGGATACACTTGCGCAGTCCCAGAGTAATGCCACTGTTGCCAAGAAACAGTATCACCACTGCAACAACTTCCCCTCCGTTATCTCTCTCTTTTTTGGAAAGTCCTATGTTGGCTTGGGCGGTATTTCGGTATTACCGAATACCGCGGTTTTGATTTTAATACCGAACAATACCGACCAACAATCCATGAATACCGGAATACCGACTTATTCGGTATTGAATTTCAACACCGCGGTATTCTGGCTAATTTGTTCAGAATGTTCCCACAACCCCCATGAGATGAAAGCAGACAATTATATCCACAACATTGACTGCATACTTTGTGGTTTCAGTAATCCAGCATCAGGTTTGTATTGTGTCTTTTGGTGAAGAGATAAGACGTAACGTGATACTTCAGCATGCAGCCACCAACCTGCCAGTCAAAAGGTTTTGTTTCCCTATCGCCGCCTTCAAATTTGTTTTGGAATAGCTTGTAGGCAGTGCTTCTTGTATTACTCATTGGCACATGTATACATGTACATGTATCACAGCCCTACAAGGTTGGGAATTAAAAAAACAGTTGGTCTTCCGTGTCCGCACTGGACTTTATTTTCCGAAGATTTTTATTGGCGGATCAGAAAATGCGAACGCTGCTTGTGCTAGCCTTGTGCTCTCTTTGGGTCTTTTTTGTCCTTTGTATACAACATGTATACAAATCTATCTAACCGAAAGCCAGGAATGTGTGTTATAAACTATAAAATGATTCCATAAATCTGCATCTGTTCGACATCCATGGCAATCAACAATCTTTTTTTTGTTCTCACATTCCTTCGATTCTTCACTTGTCACTGCTTGTATTTCAGTTTTTCCAGAATATAAAATTAGGACAACGTGCAACGGTTGATCAGAAAGGTTATGATTAATCAAATACATTGTGATGTGTTTAGAATAATAAACCTCACTGCCATAGGACAACATGTTTAATGTGCATGTGAAATTTAAAAAGCAAATACATGTGAAAGCATTGATCCAGGGATTTTTAAAATACTTTCAATCGCCATGGATGACGACAAAGCCAACAGCAACTAACCTGAATGCATATGTAGGCCTGGATGTACCAGCAAGAATTTGAAGGCTCATCAACTAAAGCCCCCATCCATGTAAGTAGTCTTTCCAACACAAATTGTGTCACGGAGAGACATTTTTTGTTTAATTTTTCGCCTCTCTTTTGATTTTTGATACAAGCTGCATGACACGATTGATTGGTAGTCCGAGATCACTTGCCCACTGCGGCGCAGTCGCCCTCGCGCGAGATGGTCGCTGAAGAAGCAGAATGTCATGAACGAGTACTGCGATTGGATAGCTGTGTCTTGCCAAATGTACGTCATGAAAGCACTCAGTCTCATTGGCGGGCACGCTAGATCTCTTTGCAGCAATATGAATAATTCAGTGTTGGGCGATTATTTGGAATCTTGAGATACCAGAAAAGTCATGTGAACTTATTTGGGGCGTATTTTATCGGAAATGGGATGGGAAATTTTGTTTTGGCGTTTAATTGTGTAATGAATGTAAAATATCATGGATTTTTTAATCGTGCACTGTGCGTGTCATGACGACAGGAATCTGGCAACCGATGTCTGTATATCGCGTTGTAAGCGTGCGTGCGATAAGCCTTGTGTTGCACGAATGGAAATTTTGTGGAAGCACGCTCGCTTGAGTACAAGCAGCACAACTTCAAATTAAATTCCTAAACACAGAAAACACAAACATAGACATGAGATCATTTTTTCTTTTTTGTGAATGAACCTGCGGAAAAATTTGTGACGGCACTGTCTTTCGACTTGCAACTATAGAGCTGCATTCGATGTAGTGGAACGTACGACCCTTTTTGGCAGAATCTGTACATTGACTGCTTGCCGCATTTCCATCATGCCTTCATTGGCAACGGTTCGGCCCGGCGGGAACCAGTGTGTTGCACCGCGCACGTGTTTTCACCACCGTGATT